AACTTTACCTTCCTCGACTTAGTTTCCTTCCACAGTCGTTCTTTATTCTATCTAACCTTAACTCACGAAGTATCTGAGGAAGGAGCCGAACAAAAAAAAAAAGGACTGAAGTCCAAAATGATTACACAGACTGGCCCCTCGGTATGCCCTGCTTTTCAGTGTGTTACCGAGAAAGGGAGGTGTAGCCCAACTTCTGACAAGCACTTCAGGTAGGGTCACAGATAACTTCGGGTGTGGATGAGCACTCACGTACCAGGACCGTGCAGAGCGCACTGCGTCCTTGCAGCAGCCTCTGTGCACATCCAGCATCTAAACAGGGCCCTTTCCGCCTGGCTCCACCTGAGGGGGCAAACAAATGTGCTACACAACCCACAGGCCGAGGTGCTTATCTCTGAACTTGGCCCGTGTCACAGACTTTACTATTTCCATTTTTCAGATGTGGAAGCTGAGGCCAAGGGAGGTTAAGGAACTGGACCAGGTTACACAGCTGGAAAGTGGTGGAGCTGGGAACTGAACCCAGGCAGAGTTGAGCAAGCACCAGGGAGGGAGATGGACCTGGGCCCCAATCCCCACCCATCATTCCCCCACTGGGTCCTCTCAAGCAAATTAGTTAACCCTCTGAGCCTCAGGTGCCTCATCTGTAAAGTGGAGATTAAAAGGCATAACTTTTGAGGCAAATGTTTTTAAGGAAATAATGGAGGTAACATGCCTGGCACCTGGCCCACACTTGAGCAAAAGTAGCCAGCTACACAGGTGTGAAGGCGGCAGGAGCTGGTGGGAGCCAGTGGGCCCCTGTTCAGAAACATACACACCTCGCCCCTCCTACCGCTTCTCAGTCTCAGCACCACTGATACTTGGGGCCAGATAACTCCTCGTTGGTGGCGCCGACCTGGGCAGTACAGCAGCAGCACTTTGGCTCTGGCCCCTAGATGTCAGTAGCAAATTGCTCCTCACCCGCCAAGCTGTGACAACTAAAATGGTCTCCAGACAGTGCCACAAGTCCCCAGGGGGCAAAATTGCCCCTGGTTGAGAACCACTGGTCTTAAGTCTCTCCAGGACTCAAGTTCTATGATACCTAATTTTACTCGTATTTTAAGCTTAGATTTTCACATAACATTTAAATTTCATAGCCTAAATTTTCACTGTTAATGAAACTTCTGGAGAAAAGCAGCTTTTCTGAAAAAGGTAACTTAGATTATTTTTTGTTTAATGGAGGTACCAGGGATTGAACCCAGGACCTCGTGCATGCTGAGCACTTGCTCTACCCTCCCCCAACACTATCTATTAACATTTACTGTCAGTGGGCTTTTGGCTAAATTAGGACATGCACTGTACTCAGCCATGAGCCCAGCATTCCACCCTAGGATTTTTCCAGAAGTCCAGGTTCCCTTGTGGGGCACAAAATGGGGTGCTGAGGGATCCCTGTCCACTGACAAGCCAAGAGGCCTCTTTCAGGGACTCCCATGACCCCAAGCCAGGGTGGACATGCTCAGGACCCAAACTGCGGCCACAATTCAGACTCGTCAGACCATCAAATCCTCTTTACAAACACTGCCAGGTGTTTTCTTGCCCTGTCAGAGGAACCATTCAGTAAGCATATTCCACACAGTTACAACAAAAATATGAAGCTTGCTGTGAAAACAGATTATCAATTAATTTCCTGGAGCTGAACTCCCAGCCAGAACAAGCTGCAGTACAGGCCGACGGTGGGGAGTCCTACATACCCCTCCTTCACTGTGGTCTGTTTTCCCCCAACTCAGGTGTCCCAAGGGTTAAGAGTGCAGAGGCTGAGCCTCCAGAACTTACTTCCATTAGAATTTCAAGTTCAAACTTGGCTCAAACTCTTTGGGGCCCTCATAATAACACTGCATTGATGCTGGTAATTACATGGGCCCAGAAACATGGGAATACATTTACTTATTTATATATGCCGTGTGTGTTATATATGGGGTGTGTGTGTGTGTGTAAATAAATTGCCAAAAAGTCTGCCTGGCCAAAATGTCCTTACCCCAATTTTCCACAGAGTACTGTAACAAACATAGAATCAGTCAACACACAATAGCAGGTAAGAGTTTTCTGGAAGCCTGACTCCTCAAAACTTAGTCGCTGAAGGCTGCCAGAGGAACAGGAAAGAGAATTTCTAGGATAACAGAAGGAGAATGTTTCAGGGCTATGTCCTCCCAGAAGAGGTTAGTCTATTTTTATATATGGAATCCTCGGCAATAAAAATAGTAATTTTCCAGGACCTGCCTACTTCAACCCAGTGTCCCCTTGCTGCTGCCCACCACGTCCCCCTTCAGTGACAATGGAGCTGGGGAAGTATGGAGGAGATGGGCTAGGCAGGGTATTTCCTTTCTTTAATCAGGGCCCATCAACAACTCCAAAACATACCTAGTTAAACCCATATCTAACCCACAGACCACGTCCCCTGGGTCATATAACTCTTAGGTGGATAGCCCCCTATACGTTTATTGAATGGCATTTTGTTTTAATTAAACTCCTCATTGTTTATAAAGCCCCCTTAGGACCATAAAAATAAAATTATTTTCCTCCCATCCTGATTTCAACTACTTCCATTTGGCAAATACATACTCCCCTGTTCCCTGCTGCCCAGCCTTGAATTTAAAAGCTCCAAAGATGAATTTTCTTTTTTAAAATAATGCCCTTGACCTCCACATTCTATGGCCAAAAAGCATGAGCCCCGTAGCTTCAGAATTTCCTCTAGGCTATTCCACAAGACTTTCTATCAAGCAAGGCTGTCTTATTAGACAATTCCCCTTGGCCGTTCAAACTCAAAGACTCATTTGCAAACCAACAAGGGCAGCTGTGCTTTCCATACCTGTGGACAGGATCAGCTTGTACTCTTCCAGGGACAGGCCGCTGAAACTTGTGTCTCTTGGGCGAGGGTACTGGTCACCCAGGGCAGAGAAGGGAGAGGAAGGGGGAGAGAAGGTTAGTTCTGCAGCACAACCTGAGGCCAGGTGATCCCGGAGAGAAGCTGTGCTCTCTAACCGCGGTTCATGGGCCATGGTGTCCACAGGCCACAAGGAAGAGAGCAGCGCCACCTGGAGGCCAAAGACGGCCTCGCAAGAACCAGTATCATCTGAACAGGCGGCTCCACCTGAATCCTCTGGAAAATGCAGGCTGTGATTCAGAAGTTCTGAGTGGGGCCCGGGATCCTGCATTTCTAACCAGCTCCCAGGCGGTGTCCACGCTGTGGCTTACAGACCACACTTGAAGTTTCACGGATTTAGAAGAAATCCTTTTTCATATAGGCTAGGCATTTGGCCATGTGGAGTTAATAAGCACATTTTTGAAGTCTAGGGAAAAAACACACTAAACAGAATTTGACAGCAATCATGTCAGGGCTGAGGGAGAAGCCCAGCTTTCTCTGACAGGACGTTCCCAGTCACCCCATCTTTATCACCAGAGTGTGGGGAATACCAGTTCCATCAGAGAAGATGGGAATATGTGTAAAATCCAACAGTTGTCAGGTACAGCCAGAAGCACACAGTGGCATAAAAAAATACATGGCTTTTATTCAAAATTGTAAATAGCTTTCATTTAGGTAACCTAAAAGCCTCTACCAGGTGCTTTTGTTGGCTTGGTTGAAATTACTGGTTACATTTAAGAGTAGCAAAATCACAACTCCTTAGGAAATATAATCAGATTTCACTCATTCTCATTGGTTGTCTCCAGTCAGAGGGGGCTGGGGATATAAAAGACTGGCCCACTCACCTTGAGTTTGTAATAGTTTGAATGGAGCCGTGCTAAGCTCTCATACATCTGATCACAGGCCTCAGGCTCTGCAATCTGAAAAACAAAGAACCCCCCCAAAAGTGAGCAAACAAGCCCTGCCCCCACACTGTACCTGGCAGCTTGTGGAGGAAGGACCCCACCTGAGTAAGGCTTTCACAGGAAGCAGGCCTGCAGCTAGGCCCTGGCTTCTTTGCTCCATGGGAAGCAACTTGGACTACAGGTCCCACTATGAGAAATCACCCCCTTGGAGGAAAAGCTCTACCCCAGCATCTCTCCAGACTGCAGGAAAACTCAATCATCTGGCAAACAAACATTTGCTGAGCACCTGTGATTTGTGAACCAGCATGCCACCACAGTGGGAGGCACCTCAGTAAAAAGACAACAGTTACGGAAGGAGGGCTAGAGGCAGCGTGGACTACAAGAAGTCAGAGGAGGGGGAGTTCCCATGTGGTCAGTGGATGGTGGAATTGAGACTAAGCTGGGTTCTGAAGGATGCACAGGAGTTGGGGAGCAGAAGGCAGAGCAGGGAACGGGTGGTATGAGCAAGTCAGAGGCAGGGATGCTGTCTATGCCTATGACCAGACCATCTGGCTGAGGACCTGAACATGCAAGTAAAAGAGCCTGAGTGGGAGAAAAAGAAAGAGCTTTTTGAGTTAAATCTTCAATATGAAATGTATTAAATAAAGGCTCTGATGCAAGGCAAAAAAAAAAATCATCTGAGCTTTCATCTGTGATAAGTGGGGAGCTGGTGAAATTTTACAAGGAAAGAAAGCCTTTTAGGATGAGATAGGTGAACTGAGGAGAACCAATAGGAAGAGTCCAGTGAGGTCCTGCTAGGAGGGACAAGGCTCAGAACACAGAAGCCTTACAAACAGAAAGGGGAAAATGAACACCCTAGATGCCCCTGCTGGAAATTTCAGGGAGGATGGGCAACACGCAGAGGAGAGGTGGTTTTTTCCCCTTCATACCTCTTTTTAGTTCTCCCTCCCTTCTGCCTTTGCTATTATTTAGCTATAGTTCCTTATATGTTCCTGCCAAGAATTCTGAAAGCACCCCAGAATGAAACTTTCTTTTCAATGTTTTTTCCCAGAATTCAAATGATGGATTTTTCCAACGTAAATCCTTCCTCGAAGGCAGAGCATAAATCAGTAGTTATGCGTTTTAATGAGGCAGCTCTGCTTTTGCATCTATGTGCTTGTCAAATGAGGCCCCTCACTCTGCAGCAAACAGAGACAGTCCCATCACTGAGTTCAACTTGATCTGTCCCCGGGTTCAAGTCTCCCATCATGAGAATGCCCAGGTAGCTACACTGGGAAAAGAAAGGGTGAGGGGCTGAGGAGGTAGCCAGTGTTTGCTGAATAATCAAAGGCATTATTTGAGTGGACTGGGACTGAGGGCTGAAAAGGAAGAATGGATGTAAAAATGTGGCCAGTGACTGAGTTCTGACTCCCTGTCGGGTGGCGCTTCCAGGGAAAGTCCAGCTGGAAGAGAATTCTGCAGCACACACTTTGTCTTCAGCAGGGCATGCAAAACTAGGAGCTAACCAGACAACAGAAGAACAGAAAGCATAAAACGCAAAACAGAAAAGAGCCACACTTGTAAAGAATATTATGCAGATTATCAAAAGATAATTGTGCATTTCAGCTTTTGCTTGCACTCTTCATATGTGCACAGATGTGTTCACTTATAAATTTAAAAGAGAACCTACAGTGTGCCCGGCCCGTGTCTGAACAGGTCCTCGTGGCTGTGCACAGCAGTGAAGTCAAACCGCCTGTATTTGGATCCCATCACTTACCAGCTCTGGGGTTTGGGGCAAATACTCCATCTCCCCCTGCCTCCCCATGTTAAAAAAAAAATTGCCATATTTCCTTAACCATTCCCTCATTCTCTGTATCTATATATATATAGATTTTTCTTCTGATCCATTTGAGAGTAAGTTGGGGCACAATGCCCATCACTCCATAATATTTCAGTATGTTTCCAAGAACAAGGACTTTCTCTTATATAACCACAGTTTGATGACCAAAATCAGGACGTTTAACAACACTTGATACAACACTTTTAACTAGTCCTTTGTCCATATTCCAACTCTGTCAATTGTCTCAGTAAGAATCTTTACAAGGGAAAAAAAAAAGTCCTTTAGGTCCAGAATCCCCTCCTGCACTACCCTGCACGCTTCTTTCTCCGTGCAGCGGGACCTTCCTCGGCCTTTGTCTTTCAAGCACTGAAAAGTGCTTTTTTTTGAAGCCTACTGGCCAACTTAACCTGTCTTTTAAAAGATAATAATAGTCCCTATTTCTGAAGGCGATGTGAGGATAAATGAGATAATGCCTGGACTGCTCTAAATTTGGGGCCTGGAACACTGACAAATGTGAGGGATTAGTTTGGTTACTATTAGTAGTAGTAAACGGTATAGTAAACAGAGGCCTTTACCACACAAACTACAGGGGAAAGAGACCAAAGACTTCAGGGACGATCCTCATGATAGTGGAATGAGGGGTGCGTGGAGGGCCCCTGATGCTGCCAGGGGAGCCAGGAAATTCCTGCTGAGAGTTGTGGTGAGGATGGGTGCAAGTCGCCAGAAGGAAGGGGGGCTCTCCAGGCACAGGACCGGCTTACGTACCCGTACAGGGAGTGGCAGTTAGGACGGGGTATCAGCACTGCTGGTGTGACTGCCAGGGCTGGCTGGAGGCAGGAGTGATGAAGGGACAGAAAATCGCTGAAGCATCACTCCATACCTGACCAGACCTCTGGCTCGCACCCCGATGGCTCCCAGAGGTCCCAAGCATTCCATGGAGCTGTGCGGGGATCGCACACCCACCTTGGTCTCTGTCAAGTGAGCGGCCGTTTGCTGCACCTGTCCTCCACATGATGGCTGCTCCTCCCAACCTTCCCCTCCCACCACCACTGACCACCTTCCTAACCAAGCTCTTCATCAAAAAAGGCATTCACACTACTGACTCCTCTGAGCCTCTCTCCTGGGCTTCTGCACTGCGACCACCAAGACCCGCATTCCAACCAGATCCTCACCCTCAGAAGTCCTGAGTTCCTCTCCAGCTTCTCCTCCAAGTCTAATGGTGAGAGTTCTGGAGACAGCCTGCTCACCACCTCCTAATGTGCCCTCGGGGCAGGGGTGGGCAGGGTCTTCTCTTTCTTCCCAGCTCTTTCCACCTCTGACAGAGCCGCAGGGCAGGGAGAGGGAAAGAGAGAGAGGATGGGGTCACCTGACAGAGCATTGCTCAAAAACCAAAGTGACCCTGTGGGCTTCCTCAAACTCTCCAAAGTCATCAGTATTAAAGAGACAGTCTCCCAGATACTTCACATAATGCCTGGAGCTCAATTAATAATCCGAGAAGGAATCAAATACCTAAGCACCTATAAATAACCAATCACCAAAAAATGAATTTGTCACCCAATCTGCCATTTGAGCTCAGAAGGTGTCTATATGAGGCTGTACAAGTAGCTCAGTGGCGGTGAGGAGTCTGAGCTATGCCAACTTCTAGCCAAGTTATTACTGCCTAAGGAGAGGAGCCATTGGCCGATTCTGGGTTCCTAGTCACACCCAACCCAAGCTCAGCAATTAGAAAATAGTTGTATTTACTACTTAACAATACATCGGTAGAAACACTCGTCTAATTCCAGAAGCCTCACCACACACCTACATCCCACACTTTATTCACAGACACTGGCACAAACATTCCTGAATTTTGGAATATACAGTTTTCCTGATGAAGTATACTGTGCACTTTCAGAAATATTCTTATACACAAGCTTTAAATTACCTGATTTTGCATTCATACCTAATGAGATTACAGACATTTTAGGACTAATAGCAACACTGGGTTTGAAAAAGGCACTGGGATATTATGAAAAATTCAGTTCTGTTCCCTAAATGTGAATAAAATAGATGTTCAACTGACAAAGTGTCCTTTATGGCTCTATTTTTGCTACTTTTGCATTTCCCCTGCTCAGTCGTCAGTAAATTTCTCTTTACCATATTAAACTTTTATACGTACAAATCTACATCACTGCCGCAGGCAATGATTTCGATTTTCAAAATTGAATTTTGGGTGGTGATAGCAATTGGTACAGCGGCCCCTATTCTAGTCACACAAAGGGACACATAAGCACTTTTGGGAAAGGGTGTAGCAAATTGCTTTGCTAATTAAGGTAGAGCTGGATTCAGTCCAGGCGGATCTATGAAAAAAGGTTTTCATGACTTGGTAATGAACTTCTGAAATGAGTTCATTCCATTATGGGAATCTGTTCCCTTGAATTCAATTGAAAATCTATTTCTTGAGCACCTACTATGTAGAGTGCTCTGCTAGGTGGCTATGAGGTGACAAAGACTCAGCCTCAGCCCCAGAGAAGTTGGTAATCAAGCTGAGACAAGATACACACACATTAAAAATAAAAATTGGCCGAGAGAGAGTGTAACTGAGTGCCAGAGTTATAAGAGATCAGAGGCAGGGGCTGGTTACCAGGCCTGGCTAACAAGGCAGGTGTGGCAGGGGTCTTGACAGTGACAGAAGGCAGTGACAGTTCACAGACTGAAAGGGAGCCAGAGTCTCTCACTTTGAGGAGTGTAGACTTCAGAGCTGGACCTGGCTGGAATGGGGATCAAAGGAGGGACTGGGAAGCAGAGGCATGAAAAGGCAGGGGACAACAACGGTCCAGGCAGGCAGGGTCTTAAGCAGTGTCAAGGAGTGCTTCGAGGCCTGGCGAGGCCTGGGAAGACACCAGATTCTTGACAAGCTCTGTGTTTGGGCTTTGGTCCACTAGATTCTCAAAGGAGAAGGACCACTGTGGGGTGATCATGATGGTGGGATAGAATGATGTGGAGCTCCCCTCCTCCCACAAATACATCAAAAACACATCTACATGTGGAACAATTTTCCAGAATACCCACTGAACGCTGGCAGAAGATCTCATGCAACCAAAGCTTGCAAGGAAGATTGCCTCATAACTGGGTAGGACGAAAGGAAAAAGAGAATCCAGACAGGATTTGCGTCCCTGGGAGGGAGCTGTGAAAGGGGAAACGATCCCTTATCCTG